TGCTGCATGCAGTCCAAGCAAGAGCGTTCCAACCAAACGAGGCAGCTGCATGCACATCGCTCCTTTACTTGGAAGCTGATACTCTTTCGCTTTTCTCTCCTACTCTTCCTCGTCGAACCAAGTCCTAAGAAGCCTCAATTCAACAGAGTGCACTGCTGCCAATATATCCGCGTATCTCTCTTCCCTTGGCTCTCCAACTCAACTTCCGCATCAACTTCCCGTTCAAATACACGCCGACTCTTAAGCAAGCAAACCCTTCCGCGAGGAATACAATTGCAGCCTACCACCGAGACTTGCTACACGCAGCTAACTGAGTATACACACGCTGCTGTGTTGGCTAAATCGAGATAACAATTTCCAAGAAGGTTCCTTCCCTCTGGTTCCTCCACTATGATTAGATTCCACTATGTTTACTGCTTCGCTGTACTACACCTTGAGACTTCAGTTATCGAAAACTTCGGAGCTAATGTGACGGAACAATGGCTGTCAATTCGAGGTATATACATGGAATAATTAATATGGTTGACTGTGTGATTGTCAGCAATTGTGAGACGCAATTGTTACACAAGAGCGCCTTCTGTTTTCACCATATCATGAATGTTATCTATTTTTGGTGTGGGTTATTTAATACTTTGAAGCTGATTTGATGATGATCTTCGAAGAAGTATTACCTTTGAGAATCGTAGATTTTTAGAAAAACATTTTCTTAAGTGCTTTTTTGTGTCTTGTTATCCTTATCTTAAACATTTTTTTTCACTATCTTCATTCATTGATGTATGTTATAATTAAAAATTTTAACTCTGGTGATGAAAGTATAAGTTGCATATAGGCTTTGTAGGCTACTCACATTCTTTTTTCCCGTATTATAATTGTTATTATTTGTTGTAGGCGTGACATTTTTAGTTTTAAATGTATTTTTTATGTTTTAAATCCTGTCAAAAAAGTATCTACGTAACGTACATTTCAGTCATAGATAATTCTGATTGACACGACGCATATGCACGTATAAAAAAACCAAATCAATTAAAAACTTCCTCTCTTCCTTTTTCCATCGCATATTCGTGTGTATATCAACGTTTTGCAGGGCCTTCCTTGACTGCTCCTTCCGATAGCGACGACCCAACACTGCAAAGGCTCTACGAGAGTTTCTCCATTTCTACGTGCATCAGTGGGTGTTCGCTCGTGTATCACTGCCACTGAAACTTGGTTGTCGCTTGAGTTTCTAATTGAATCATTAGAAGGACGAGAGCAAAGGGTCGAGGCTATTACGGTAATTGTGAGAAGTTACACGTCCATCGCTACTTTACCTCCAATATCAGAGCTCTGAAGGAAACTGCGACTGAGAGGAGATAACTCGGAGGTGGAAGGATGGAAAGCTCCTCCAGTTTGGAAATCATGTTAAATATTGGACCTTGTTGATAAGTTGTGGCAATGGTACACTGATGGGTTTAAGGCTTTTTGATTCCAATGCTAGGAGTGGATCTGAAAGATTTCACTGATAGTGCTAATTTTTTCCGAATTTTAGACTTGAAACATACTCAGTGGACTCGAATGACTAGATAAGCTTCAGATAGTTCATGAGCTTATTACACACAATATTACTAAATTCAATTACATTAGTGTGTTTATATTCTTACATATTATTCCTCTGTTATCAACATTTTAAAATTCTTTCTCGTTAACAGAAGAGGAATAATAATACTCTTACACTTTACGTGCTAAGGCCTACCAAAATTATTGACATTCAAACATTCTAAGATCTCCAATTGTAAACAAGGCTAGGTGCTTAATCCAAGCCAATCAAATATCTAAAAAAATGGCTTATCAATCTTTCAAGAACAAAGGATAAGAGCGGGATCAGATTCTCAGCATTTCCAATTTCATCCCTCGTACAGTACCATCTCTAGTACATTACGTATTTATGGACAAAAGACGACATACGACAACAACATTATTATTCCATGGCGCAAAAGCACGTGAGTGCAGAAATAACCTTTGCAAAGTCTCGCGGAAATAAAGCAGCCCTCTACTGTCTCCGACAGCAGCCAAGGGTACTTACCAGCTAATTTCCGCCGGCAGTGCTTTTGATCTGAAATTAGTTGGATCCCCGCTGCCTCTTCCTTCGTTCCTATTCGCGTCTGCATATTACATCGCGCGTGTTTAAGGGAGTTGTCAGACATGTAGAGGCAGAATAGGGAATAAGGAACTAGAGAGAGCGAGCTCATGTATCTGCTGTGCTTATGCCACTGCAGATTCGATAGAAAATCTACCAGATAATGCGTTTTCGCTGGAGATGAAGAGAATCTTGTCAGGAGGAGCTTTAAGGAGAATCTGAAGCCCATCACCCTTTGTCTCTTTTCTGTCTTCCGTCGAGTGCTTGGAACGAGGATCTTTACGTGGAAAAGGTTTCTGTTCTAGCTTTTTGATGCTGCAGCATTGTCATGAAATCTCCTAAAAAGGAAGTACCAGGATCGATGTCTATTCTTGACATAAAAATTAACCCTGATATTTATATTTTATAACAAATAGAAGCTTCATCTGTAGCGTGTAACAAAAATATTTGTTTTTAAAAGCACTTATCGAAAATTTATACACAATCTAGAGCATGCGCACAAAGAGCTTAAGGTGAAAACCAAAGATTGAGATGGCTTATGGAGATAATTTTTAGCTTCAAATCTATCTGAGGTTTTCTAAACTCTTAGACATTCCATGACTGAGCAACTATTTAAATTTATCATAACATATAGTAAATCAGTTGCCAAAGACTTCAATAATTAAATAAAGAATGGACCAAGAAAATATTTGACTATCAGTAATAGATTATTATCAGTGGAATTACTTAGAAGACGATTTGTACGAGTGACAATCTTTTGAAAATAGAAAGAAAAAAGAAATTGTTACTTTACGATAAGTATTGTATACTTAAATAATTACAAGTGTAATCCCACGAGAATGGTACACAGGGTATCAGGAGCCACTTCATGCAATATAATGAAAGCGTAAAAGGGGCAGGTTATGTCGACGTTTGCTCTTTAGGGTAGCACCAACTCTGAAGTCGTTTTCGGCCTTTATTGCGTGTGAGTTTGATCTCGAAAGCTTCCCCCTGCTAATATAATACTCCAAGTGGAAATAGGAGCAGAGCGCTAACTTTGGGTTTCCTTGTATCCTTATGACGGTCATTAAAGCACACTCTGAGAAAAAAAATTGGAAGACATACTGTGCCCGAACGACAACACATATACTGTTTTTTATTATTTTTACTACAATTATTGTTGTTATGATCAGTAACTTTCATCGTAAACACTATGATTTTTACTGCTTGTATACTGGAAATCACTGTCTAATATGGTAACAAGTAGGTTGCCAAAAATAAAAGGTCCTTTGATGTCGGAATAATACCAGATTACCTTCTAGCACAATAATTTTTTTAGTTTTTTCTCCCTCTGGGTACAAAAAATGTATACATGATATTAAGGATTTATGTGGTCAAAATTCTGCATCACTAGATTTCAGTCTCGATGTATATCTTGATAAATGTAAATATCAGCTTAGTAATCTTTTCAAGTAAAAATAATGTAATTTCGGTGTGGATACGAATCAATAAAAACGTCGTGTTCATTCCCATTCCATAAATATACAAAGATAGCCACACTCGGAGAGAACGTTTGCATATTGATTTTATATCTTAATATAGATATCGCCCTACAGCTCAAATTTTACGTGTTGGTTGGTTATCAACAGCCAAATAGCCGCCAGCCCAGTCCACGCGTAAGCCGATTAACTTGGAGTGAGCTCTTACCAACATTATTCCGGCTTGTCATCTTAGTCTCTCTTGCTCTCCCAACATCAGTCCCTCAAAGGCATTGTACCTTACTTACTTAGGAGTTTGTTATCATAGTAAATATATGCCAAGACGTGTACTTTATTTCATGCTTACAGTTTTGGGCAAAATGATCGATTTATTTTTATGACTAGACGGAATTTCACCATAAGATGAATACAATTCTGGCTGGAGAGAGAGATACTTTTTTTCTATTTTCTTGTTTTTCAGCAAGATTTATTGTTTGAGTAGATCTGATATTAATAAAAATGTACCGCACAAAGAGTTATACAGTTTATTAGCTTTATTTTTATTAATTGAAGTCTCGTTAGAATCAGTCAGTTTTGTTAATTTTGAGATACATGAAATTCTTTGCTAAGTTACAAAATAGTTAGTAAGAGACAATCTTGACTGAGGTATCTATTTTAACTATCACGTCTACTCAAGCCTGGCAATAATAAAACATCTTTTGTCCTTCCGTTTTTTACTTAGATTCATCTTTCTTTCTTCTACATATCGCAAGTGGTATTGCAGGGACTAAGCAGTTCCAATAGCCCATTTGTGTGCACGAGAAAAGTAGAACTGATCCTTATCCCGTTTTCCTACTATGATTGTGTAAAGACCCTATATGAATGACTTGATCTTCCATTTAACTCTCCTACGAGTAAAATCCACTAGTTTTCCATAAGTAGTATCTTGGATTACGGATATTTTAAACCATCATAATGATATTACGGATATTACTAGCCGGATACCATGTTCTCTCATAAGGAATATGTGGAGTAAGTCGATTAGTCATTTGGTTTCGGTAACGCATATGATACTTTTTTTTATTAAAAAGGTCTGTTAAAACAATCTTCCGAAATTTTCGATGGAAATCAAACTCATAAATCTTTTAAAAGCCGTGCCGTGCCTGTGAAGTAACAATGCTATAAACATATTTATTACTAACATATTTATTGTTTAAAATATAATAACAATCACTATTGATAATTGTCGTAATAAATCATCAGCTATTAACAAGTTTTGTGATTGACTAATTGAGCATAAATTATAATAAATTTTATAATAAGTCTTGATGACTTTCAAAAAATAACAATGTATTTTAGTCATTACATTTTTACACCGAGTAAAAACCTCTTAAGAACAAAACTATGAACTTTTTTTCTTTGTGTTACAGGTAAGGATCAATTACTGTAATTAAAGGTCATCTTTTCGGAAAATACAACGTAAGTACACAGAAGCTGAACTGCATGGTTTTTTGCTAATTGAAGAGCCTATTATATTATACAGTGAAGTTTTACATTAGCGTTTGTTAAACGACTATTAAACTCATACAGTTTTTATTAATACTTGAAACAATTTAATGTTGATCGTTCCTTCGCAGTTAATACCAGTAGTACTCGTTTGCAGACTTTTAGAAATGACAGAATAATAACTAGATAAATAAATTCATCTGATAGATATAACTGGGATGATTACCTCATTGTACTGTTTTAGATGGGATCTGGTCAAGGATATTATAAGAAGTTTGAAATAAAATGACGTGGTGAAATGCACGATAGGACTAAAATAAAATATAAGAGCTTTTGTTTCACTGAATTTATTGGATATTAACTTATTTCAAGCATTTTTTAGAGAATAATCGATATTGATCAGTAGAGTTATTTGCCACTGAGCTTGACGCATTGATAAAAAAAGTGTACAGAAGTTGAAAGTCGATGGGTTGATACTAGTTACTATACCACACTTATAAATTTTTTTTTTTTTCGGGGGGGATAGACGAGTATCATTGTGGTAAAAAAATATCCTGGCTCACTTGATTATTCATGATATGACAGGATTGATTTTCATGGTTCTACCGTTCCAAACAACTCGTAAGACAAATTTTTTGTTCGTAAATAGTAAATGTAAATACTTTTAGAGGTATGTGATGCATGATTCTAACTCTAGTGTAAAATAATTTTTTATCTAATTTTAAAATTTCATATTAATTATGACAAGTCAAATTTCGATGCTATAAACTAATTCAGTACCTCTGATGACATCCCATTTGATTAGTGTGTCAATAACAATGTAACCCAGAAGATATGATGTACGACTATTCACATGTTTTTATCACTTATTTTGTAATTGAAGAAATTCTTTTCAGTTTAGTTATGTTACAAATAAACATGTGTTGTTGGATTTTTTGGATTCCGTTGAATTAACGTAATACATAGTTAATGTTAACAATTTTAATTTTACCTGTGGTGATCTGAGTATAAAAATTAAACAACATCATTATTTATTAGGAAAATACTACCCCGAAATGATTAAACTCGAGAAAAAATACTAATCTAGGAAATAGTTCTCAGCTCCACACATCATCAGGAGAAAGTTTAGTCAAAAAAAAGTTTCATTACGTTAAACGACAACACCCTCATTGTACCCCGACCATCATCCAAATTTCGTGAATTCGATTTAATAAAGTGGTCTAAGTGTGCACACGAGAACCGAACAGTCACCGCTTACTGAACATCTTTCCTCCACCGACCTCCCTCCATCTCGAAATTCTCCAAGCTGTGCTAGAGAACAAGAGCAAATCTCGATTTTCACTTCGGCTAATGGCTGCAGCTCTGCTTCTCATTGATATAACCACTGTACACAGGCGTCACATCGTTCGTTTGTACTTGGAAACTCAGTAATAAGAAATGTTAATTATTTCACTCCTTCGGCTTGACGCTTACTGTCTAGAGTGAAAAATCTGTACTTGTCGAGTTATCATCTTCTTCTGTAATATTCTAGGCTATAGATCAGAGATATCAAAAGTACATAATGTACGTTTTATGTATGTTTTAAGCAATCTATACTACACATATTTCACATTCTGATACAGTGACAAAACTTTTAATTCTCTTTTAGTACATAAAATACTTATTCATCGGAAAGCAAGTGGACACCAAGTGATAAAATTTTCATTTCTATATACTTTTTCTAGATGATATTTTTATGTAAAGTTTGAACTTTTTTTAACGTTAACCAAAAAATTTTTTGACTACTAACAAGTACAATAAGGATTGGTTTTGAATATACTCATAAGTTTTTGTCAACAACTGTTCAATCATTTAATCATTCGTAATTTTAGTACAATTTGATATTCGTTTTCAAGCAGAAATATGACAAAATCCACATAAGGTATTCCTAATTTGTCTCCCATTTTTTCANCCAGGTTTCGTTCTAATGAGTCGCAATGTTTAAAAATTAATTAATAATGAACAAGTTAAAATTTGTGATATTGCATTAAAAAAAAAAAAAAAAATAGATTTACTATATTTATCGTACGTACATCCATGACAGTGAACAAACGCCTAGTAGTCATCATCAGTGATCAAAATCAGTAGAGGTTGCTTTTCACTTGGTCCATCACCACGACGTACAAAGGGGTATGACATACATTGATGGCCATCAGATGGCATTTTCACCAGAACAAGCAGTCCAAGATTAGGCTGTCTGCCTTTAATCCACATCTTTACAGTATGTTTTACGTTAAATACCTTGAAGAATCACATGTAGTGCATGGGTGTACATGAATAAATTAATTATTGAATTGAGTTGGTCATGCTTAAAGTATACAGATGTGGTGGATAAAAACTAAATTTCAAACTCACATGCCAACCCCCACCGTAATATTGTTCTTCGTACTTTTTCAACAGTTGATGAAGTTTGGGCTGATCAAGGCTTTTTTCTGGTAAAACTTGATAAATTTAGACCTGTAAAGACATAGTTATAATTAATATGAACTAATAATACCCTGCGTCCCTGGTTTTAATATTCTACGATTATTCACTTTAAAATAAGTAGGAGAGGAAAAATTGCTTATTGGACAACCATTCGGTTTGCCATGTAGGTACAGTTCAGCGTGTATAATTTTTTCACGATTTTCCAAGATCAAATCGTCCAAATAAAACTTGTACAACGTAGATGGAGGTTTGACAATTGCATCGTAAGAGCAACGAATTAAGTTTGAAAAAGTCCTGGATTAGTAAATACATGAATGCTCGAGAGGTCATGAGGAGCGCAGCGCATGTCTCTTATTCTTAATTCAGGTTTTTTGTTGATAAGGACATCCTGGAGAAAATAAAAGACATCGATTCACTCATCCGAAAACATATGATCTAACTTGCGCCACCAAAATTTCCGGTGGAGTCCTTCTGGTAATGGTCTCGTCTTTGGACTTAGAAATATGAAGCAACTGTAGGAATAACTAGGAAAATAGATGTTTCTAAAATAAAACAATGAAAAAACCTATTTGTTTTGAGAGTTAGATAGTCTGATGTAGTAAAAAAATCAAAAATTTTATACTAACTCATACTTTTTTCAATGCTGTTTGTTTTTGCATTTCGTTTACATGATTTCTCGGTCCTTTCACGCGTATTGAAGAAGCATTTAGAGTTGGTAAAGTGTAATTATTTAGCCCTTAAGAGTCAACGGTTTAAGAGTTCATGATGACCATTAAAATAACCATCATTAAAAATGATGTAAATAACTTCATCTTAGCTAGTTTTTTCTCTATCATCTTCTTACGGGGTACTTGAGTTAATCCTCCACGCTTCAAGTAAAAATAACCAACTGGAATTATGTGACTCACATATCTTTTATCTTTTGTTTGAACTTAAACTGTAATTTTAAAAAATAAAAAGTTTTTCCTTTTTAACCATTCTGACGTACTCTATTTCTAAGGGGTCCTGCAGAGTTGCTTACAGAAAGCTGAAATTTTTATTAACTAAAGATGTCTTAAAACATCATTACCATCAAAAGTTATGATCATTCCAAGTTTGGAGAAGGATTTGTCAACAACTATTCAATCATTCAATCATTCGTAATTTTAGTACAATTTGATATTCGTTTTCAAGCAGAAATATGACAAAATCCACATAAGGTATTCCTAATTTGTCTCCCATTTTTTCATAAAAAAATTTTTTAGGGCATACCTTTGAGACTAGTCAGGGTGACACCGTTTTCCGAAATTTCCATTCTATAATTATGTACCTATATATGATGCATCTAGATACTAGTGATGTTTCGCTATTGGAGAGGCGTTGGAGGTTTCACCCAGTTCTTAATAGGTTTAAAAAACGGAGAAATTAAACATGTAGATACAACGCCAGACTTGTTTCCATGAGACTATCTTGGTAAACCGAAGCGTCCCCCGAGTGAGATTCTAAAACTATAACCCCTTTACCGTAAGATCTCGGGTACTTGCACTGCACAGACCCACACTTCTGTGATGAATTAATTCTAATTTTCTGTTATTCGCTCGTAATTCGCACCATTATACCTCGAGCCAAGCCAAACCCCAGGCTGACTTGAACTAATTCTATCGAGACGTGCCATACACACACACATACACACACACCTACCTAGAGCAGCTCAACTTCCACCGCTCGCCGAGTCGAAATTGCAGCGGAAGTTTGTCTTCTCCTCCCATTATACGGCCGAGCGAGGGGATGTCTACACGTAGGGGTGTATGGGAACGGGATGGCCGTCGAATCCGAGAAGTCGCGAAGCGAACCAACTTTCGGCGAGTTTTTGAGCCCCAAAAGTAGACCAGAGTCGTTATAGACTCTTTGCTGATACTTTGTCTTCCTTTATGCACCGCTCGACGAATTTGAGTCCGCTTTTCTAAGACCCGCGTGACCTCCGCTGATTTAATATTAAACGTTAAAAGAGAGCTCAAGCCTCCTCCTGTGGCTTCATGATTCATGGACACTCGCCATTTCCTGGCTCTTGTTATCACTCGATTTTTGAACCTAATTGTCATTTTACTGTCGTCCAATGACTCGTGATTATTGTAAGGAGCCGTTCTGATCGTCTAATCGTTTGGACTTTTCGTAACCAAATCAATCAAAAATCATTGAAATCTTACATAAATATACACATAAATTAAGATTATTCAAAGTGGTGTAAATAATCTAGTAGTTAGATCAATAAACTAATAGAAGCATTATGTAATAAAAATTTGAACCTATTACGAGTTGACGGGTTGATTTTTGATAGCTTATTTTGTGTCTTTCCTTTTCCAACTATCAACATTTTTAGTGTAGACTTCTTTGGACACACCTTTTGAATTTTACATCTGAAAATATGGTGTACAAAATAGGGGGTACTCACAGGTTAATACAATATGCAGAAAAAGCAAACAAAGCAAAAAGCAGGAAGTGTAAGTGAAATCGGACATTGTCAAACT